AAAAAAACTGGTCTTATGAGTAGAGAAGCTCAGAAAGGCTCAGACAGGCTGGATTCATATCATAATTCCAGCTATCCATAAAATCCATACATGTACACAGATCTCCATTGCTGGGACACAAACAGACATTTCTGGGGTGTGACCCATGTGATTTGCTTTAGAGATTGATCCGGCAGTAGAGTGAATTACATACACAGGTGCCTATTCCTTGGAGGTGCAAGGAAATATTGACAAGGTGGAAAATTTACTTGAGTAAGAATATTGTTTGTCCCAACCTTAAAATTGGTTACTTGTATTATTTACCTGAAGTTATATAGTTCTTAATATTATGACAGAGAGGCCTTCAGGATATCAATATCTATCTCCTTTCTGTAACTTCTTGGTGAATTATGCAGAAAGTTTATTTCTTGATGAGCTTTAAAGGCCTGGGAAATACAGCATCTACGGTTCAACAAATGTGGAAAGAGTTATCAGCCAACATGTGACTAAGTTATTTACCTTTGCATGCCATCTGAGAAGAAACTTTAGGAACAGCAAAGGTGAGGCTCAGATTGACCAGAGGTTTCCAGGAAAATTAGCACCAGCACTCATTGTCTAGCCATAGTAAATTTGCAGATGACACCAAACTGGGAGAGTGTCAATCTGCTGAAGGGTAGGAAGAGGGACCTGGACAGCCTGGGTCAGTGGGCAGAGGCCAGTGGTATGAAGTTTAACAAGACCAAGTGCAGGATCCTACACTTCGGCCACAATAACCCCATGCAGCGCTACAGACTGGGGGAAGACTGGCTGGAGAGCGGCCCAGCAGAGAGGGACCTGGGAGTACTGGTTGACAATCGATTGAACATGAGCCAGCAGTGTGTCCAGGTGGCCCAAAAGGCCAATGGCATCCTGGCCAGTATCAAGAATACTGAGACCAGCAGAAGTAGGGATGTTATTCTCCCTTTGTACTCAGCACTGGTGAGGCCTCACCTCGAGTACTGGGTACAGTTCTGGGCCCGTCACTTCAAGAAGAATATTGAGGTGCTGGAGCGGGTCCAGAGGAGAGCAACAAGGCTGCTGAAGGGAGTAGAGGGAAAGTCTTATAATGAGAGGCTAAGAGAGCTGGGGTTGTTTAGCCTGGAGAAGAGGATGCTCAGGGAGGGACCTTATCACTCTCTACAACTAGCTGAAGGGAGGTTGTAGTCAGGTGGGGGTCGGGCTATCCTCCAAGGGAACTGGTGACAAGACGAGAGGGCATAGCCTGAAGCTGTGCCAGGGGAGGTTTAGGCTGGATATTAGAAAGTGCTTTTTCACTGCGAGGGTGACCAGGCATTGGAATGGACTGCCCAGGAAGGTGGTGGAGTCACCATCCCTGGAGGTGTTTAAGGAAAGGCTGGTTGACCCATGTGGTCAACTCGAGGTTGGGTTTCATCTCACCCAACTTCAGCTAAGCAGAAGTTACATGTCTAATCTGTATTAGTCACCTGACTTCTTCCTGTAATTAAGGGAAATTAATTATAAAGAAATTAGCCTCAATACACCTTTGTGCAGACTTCAGTGAAATTTTGAGTCCCACTTAATGACAGCATAGAGGAAATACTCTTCTGGTCACCAGCTTCCTTCATTCACTACCTTCTCCCCAACACTCTTCTGAGGGCAGACTTCACTTCCCCGTTCCTCAGGCTGTAGACCAAGGGGTTCAGCACGGGGGTCATGATGGTGTAAAACAACGTGGCCATCTTGTTCTCATCCAATGCGTAGGTGGAGCTGGGTCTCAGGTACATGAATAAAATTGCCCCGTAAAACATGGTGACGACTGTCAGGTGGGAGGCACAGGTAGAAAAGGCTTTTCTCCTGCCCTCTGGAGAGTGGATCCTCAGGACAGCAGGGAGTATATAAGCATAGGAGACAAAGATGATGGTCATGGTGCTGAAACAGTTTATGCTGACAAGTGCAAGGACAACCACCTCATAGGTGTGAGTGTCAGAGCAGGAAAGGGCTAAGAGCGGGGCAATGTCGCAGAAGTAGTGGTTGATAACATTGGAACGGCAGAAGGAGAAAGTAAAGATGAAAGTGGTGTGTGTCACCGTGTGCAAGATGCCGACAGCATAGGAACCAGCAACAAGCCACCAGCACGTCCATCTGCACATGATGATGGGATACAGGAGGGGCTTGCAGATGGCCACGTACCTGTCATATGCCATCACGGCCAGCAAGAGGCACTCAGTGACCCCAAAAATGACAAAGAGGCAGAGCTGGGCTGCGCACCCCATGAAGCTAATGGTTTTCTCCTCCATCAGGATTTGCACCAGCATTTTGGGAAGGATGATGGAAGAATAGCAGATGTCGACAAAAGCCAAGTGGCAAAGGAAAAAGTACATGGGGGTGTGAAGGTGAAAATCAGTCCTGATTAACATAATTATCCCAAAGTTCCCCAAAAGGGTCACTATGTACAAAGCCAGGAAAGCCAAGAAAAGGAGGACCTGGAGATCTGGGTGGATGGTAAGCCCCAGGAGAACAAACTCATGTACATCAGTGTGATTGGCAGATGTCATTCTCTGTAACACATTCAACCTGTGGGAGATAGGTAAAGTGACAAACAATTATTTGGGCAGATCAGCAGGTCCCTCAGCTTCCACGGTGTCACCAAAGGAAATCAGAGCTGTTCCTACCAGGGCTTTATGAAATGTCAGCTGCACTCTGGATCACTCTCGGAAGACCCAAGTCTCCTTCCAGCACCTTCAGAAGGATCCTAAAACCGAAACCTACTTGTCAAGATGAACAGTGAGAATGCCCACTTGAGTTTGGCTCAGCATTTCATCTCCTGTGCAGCTTCCTATTTGTGCCTTCCTGGGGTCATTTAACACAGGGGAAGGTCAATACACTCAGCATTTCTTAGTAATAGCATTTTTTAAAAAATAAGATATTTAATGCATTTTGGTTTTCCTTAGTAAATTACAGGCATATCTTTAATTTTTTATTTTTTTTTAATAAACCAACATGGAACAATTTGACTTTCATTTCCCTTTCCGAAGCAAAGCAGAACAAAAGTGTGGACATTTTTTCTTTTAAAGCCAATATGAACACACAGTTTTCAGCATCCACAGTCTTGACAACCTCATAGGAAAGGCAATTGACAAGGGCACAGTGACAACAGGGAAACTAACTTGGATGTAAAGCCAAGATCATACAAGGAAACACAGAAGGAGCTGAGCAGGACAGGGAGAGGAGATAATACAGCCTGTGCTGTAGGTAGTGAGTACCCTTCTGCTTTGGCCCTCAGGGCCACCCCTTGCCATTACAGTGGCACCTATGAAAAGATCAAACACCTTCATGTCTCCTTGTTTCATGTCATTTAAACTTCAGAACAGAAGAGTCCTCCTCCCATGTAGGATTCCTTCTGCTGATCTCAACCTTATTGCTATAAACCAGGTATCTTAGACTTCTGGTCCTTTCCTTATCTCACTACCACCTCCAAATCCATCAGACAAAAAGAAACATGTGCTTACTTTAGCGCTATGATTTCCCTTTATGTCCTGCTGATTCAGAACAGGTTCAGGGCTGAGGACTGGCCGGAACAACCTTGGACACGACTTCTCCCACAAAACTCAGATCTTCAGTGCAGGTCCATGCAGCTTCTTCAGCAGCTGAGATGAGTCTGGCTGCTCCTTTAGGTGATGAACAACGCCTTCTTCAAACGGTTGAGAGTGGTTTTTAGCTCTCTTTCCTTAAAAGCTGCACAGAGGATGATTTGCTGCTGCACCTTTCAGAGGGGACAAATCCCCTCTGTACTTTTTAGTGTTCAGGTGGTATTTATACACATTTCTGTGACCTTGGAGGCATTCCAGTCCATGGAGAATAGAAGCTTAACAGCAAGCAAAATCCACCTGGAATATGAATTTATTTATCTTCAGACTCACTAATGAAGCCCAAGAACAACTTGCTTTGAATTTCTGGATTTATGAAGATGTCTTTCCCCTTCTATGCTGAGAACAGGTTGTGGATGAAAACTGAATGTCTACATGATTCAAGAAGAGCAAATCTCAACTTTTTTCTGCAGTCACACCTGGCTATTATCTAGCTTTCTCAAGTGTCTTTCCTAGTGCCACTTAAGCTGGATCTCAACAGTGCAAAGATATTTATTACAACCATTTCTGCTGTCATGATCTCCCCTTGTTAGCACCCTTTTGCTTTGAAACCCACCCTAAATGTTGATCTTTGCCTTTGATGGCGTCAATAAGACAGCAATAGTCCCCTCACTGTGTTTTTTCATGTTATTATCTACAATACTGTAGTCTTCATGTATTGATTCACGAAACATTTTCCTATCTGTTTTCTCCAAGAGATTTAGTTTACAGAGCTGATGGTCTCTGTATCAGTTTGTTTGAGTAGGCCACTACTTTCAGAGCCTCCAAAAGCTGCATTTCAGAGACCACTTACTCCTGCCATTATTACTGGGAATGAAACTGTCTGTCCGTATGCGTATTTGTTTTGACAATTTGAATTCAGAGGTGTTATAAATCCCCTCAGACAAACTGTGTATATCCAGGCTGCCTGGAGATAATCTCTCACCATCACTTCACAAGTGGTGTTGATGGCCCCATGGCTAGAAGATGTGCCTTCATCTGTTAAAATATATCACTATATAAAGAAAGGGACCAATTTTTTCAAAATATCAATAACTTTTATCACAAGTAGGTCCTCTATTTACTTCCATGATGGACTTTTTTCCAATAATTATTTTTTCCTAATGAACTTTGGGTACAAAACCCTTGGCAGGCTGCATACAGCCACTGCAGCCATTGCAATCCTCTGGGATACAGGCAGCACTTAGGGCCAGTTGAACACGACCAACAGGTAATTTCCCCTTTTGAAGTCACTCTGCCTTTATCTGGCAGTGAACTCACCAAAGACTTACCTAGTAAGTGAAGAATCATCAGCTTGAAATATTATGAGGTCTGCCAGATTGCGGCTATATTATTGTTTTTCTCCCTATGATTACTCTGTTCATTAAATTATCACTCTGAAAACATATAAAACTTCAATCTGTGATCAAGCGTGCAACACTGCCAAAAATCCCCTAATGAATTTTAATTTAAAGGAATGCAGAAAACAAAACCTAAAAACAAACACACAAACTATTGAGACTCTATGTGGCTTCTTTACCTAAGATACCTGGCAGTTTTTGGTCTCTACTTCCCAAAAAGTTGTCTCGACAGTGACTGAAGACACACAGACAAATTCCTAAGCAAACTCTATCCTTTGCTGAGGCAAAGCTTTCATGTTTGGAAACCAGCTGCTCTGCATGGGTTAAAAGCTGTGTGCAGCTCCCTCCAAATATAAGCTGTACTTGAAGTTTAATTTCATTACAATATTAACTTCACCAAAATCTATACAATTTCAACGCTGCTTTGGTGACCACTGAATTGCTCAAAGGGGAAAAAAAAACCAAATTATAAGGCATTAAATGAATCACTCAGGAGCATTAGCATGTGGTGTATGGGCTGGTGTTCATCACCGTGGCCAGTCTTGGGTTGGAGTGAGATTTCTCATTATGCATTCCAACCTGCAGAACTCTGGAAAGAAATACCAAAATGAAATTAGAAACAACACGTTTTGAGAAATGAAAAGCTGTCATGGTTTAAGGCGGGGCTGGCCACTAAATCCTGGGCAGATGCTCTCTGTTAACCCCACTCCCCTCTCCAGAAGGGAAGAGAAAGAGAATAAGGGAGAGTAACTTTACGGGTTGGAAAATAAACTAACAGATTTAATGAAACAGTAATACTAATACTACAGGATAATATTGTAAATAGGGAAATAATGGAGCATATACAAATATGTACAAATATATATAAAACCAATATAAAATCCTCCCCTCCAAAGATGATTACATCACCAGAGGCTCTACAGAGCAGCGCACTGGAAAAGTCCCAGACTGGACCTAGCAGCAGTGGGAGCAGGATTCAGGAACGCAGGGATCAGGATTGGAGGAAGACAAACCAGCAGGGTTCTGCTTGAACTTCGGCCATTGCAGGATCAGAAGAGCAGAGGGCAGGATCAAGAAGGGTCGAGACGGAAGAAGGGATCCAAGATGGAAGGGTCGAGACCCTTGTGATCCCCTCAGCTTTATACTGAGTATGATGTATGTGGGATGGAATATCTCATTGGTCAGTTTTGGGTCTGCTCCTCCCCATAGGTGCAGATACAGCACCCATGGTGGGACAGTAACCTTGTCATTATCACTTGTAGCAGTGCACACTGTCTGGAAAAACATGCTGCTATTTTCAGCAAGTTCAGCCACGTAGAAGAGACTGAGCTGAAAAGTAAACTCACTAAATAGAAAATTAGTTCTATTTAGTTCAAACCAGAACAAAGGCTAATTAGGGGGCTGTAGTGTTTGTGGGTGCTTTTTTTTCTTTTCCAGATCATTTATAGCTATCCCAGTGCTTTTATTTTGCATAACAGCTGTTGAGTTGGAGCATGATTCAGCTGAATGTTGTCTTCTACAACTGTAGACATCTTCATCTGACCATACTCCACCCTGTTGCCAGATACTCTAGGAAGCAATTAAACTTGCTCCAAAATAAACATCCTAATAGCTTATTTGAATATTGCCTTAAAGTTCCCACTTCTCCCCATTGACTGCAGGGTTCAGGTTACTCCCTGGACCAGGAAAAAGTGGTGTCTATTGCCTACACCATGGTGATGTCCACACGCAGTCCCCTGAAGGAGGCCTGAGGAGCATGGGGGTGAAGGATGCTTTGAAGAGACTCCTGGGAAGAGTTCTTATTTCTTCTGGGATTCAGACTGGTAAAAAAATATAATCAACCAAATGCAAATAGCTTGGATTTTCTTGAGATTGCATCTTTGTTCTGCAGCTATAGTGATGAAAATAATGAGTATGTAACATGGAGAGCCATAAAAGCTCTGGAAATTCTCTTTTTGGGGTGCAGGGAGTAATTCAAGGGATCTCCAAGGCTTGCACAACTGTGCAGCAACATTTTGTTTGGTGCAAAGGCCATACTGATGAGCTGAACTACACACTTCAGGGACTGGGTCCGTAAGGAAATGCAGAACAAGACAGTTGATAAATATCCCCAGCCACATGCCACAGGCAGAGCTGGGAGAGAAGAGTTGATACCTGCTTGTTCTGCCCTGTGAAATGAGCTGGTGTGGGGATGTCACACAGAGAACATCAACTTGCTTTTGTTCTCATGACCTCTAAACTTGTGATCTCTAAACTTTTGATCCCATCAGCGTTTGCTAGACAAGACCATGAGTGAGTATTTCTGGGCAAAAAAAATCAACCAGGGGTATGGTGTCATGGATAGCCAAGAAGATAAATCTTCAAGAGGATTTGTTTTTCTTTTCTTTGTTTTCTCATCTCTCTGCCCATCCTTTTTGTTACCTAATGACAAACATCACAATCAAGATATGAGGCCAGATGAGAAAATCATCAAGCCCACTGCAGCACCTCTGAGACACAGCCAACACCAGGGGCACACAGAATCACAGAATCACAGAACGTTAGGAGTTGGAAGGGACCTCGAAAGCTCATCCAGTCCAATCCCCCTGCCGGAGCAGGATCACCAGACCAGGTCACACAGGAACACGTCCAGGCGGGTTTTGAATGTCTGCAGAGAAGGAGACTCCACAACCTCTCTGGGCAGCCTGGGCCAGTGCTCTGTTACCATCAGAGCAAAAAAGTTTTTCCTCATGTTCACATGGAACCTCCTATGCTCCAGCTTGCACCCATTGCCCCTTGTCTTGTCATTTGACATTCCAGAGCAGAGACTGGCTCCTTCCTCCTGACACTCGCCCTTTACAGATTTATAAACATGAATGAGGTCTCCCCTC